TCGGCCTTGAAGATGATTGGCCGATTTGGACAGCTGTGACTGGCTGAAAACTAGACTGTCGTCGGTGCATACGTGCAAGTACTATCGGAGGGGCGCAGCGTTCCAACACACGTCCGGTATCGAACCACTACAAGGCCTCCCCGATTTTGTAATGTTGCTAAAAACCAAGATGTTTGACGTTCCAGGCGCTTTGTTTCAATCCCGCAAGGTGAACAAGAGCGCAAGAAAAGGAAAGCTTTATTGTGTCCCTAGTACGGATATTTAAGCAAGCAAGGTTATAAGATCGGACCAATATGTTTGTGTCTTCGAGCGTGTATCAACTCGATCGGCAATTTGATTGGCTCATCCCTATGGTTTGACCCATATCCGACAGCCTCGTGTGGTGTCGGTTCTTTGAGGGCCGCGCGTGTGTGCGGGTCTTTTTGTGTGGATGAACCGATAGCGTGGCGTGAGAGCCTCTCGCCGGGGCTGCATGTGCATAAGTCCGTTAGGACGGCTTCTAACACTCGACGTACTTCTTAGCCATGGTATCTATAAAACGACTCTATCCGGATGTATCATTGCCGGTAAAGACTAGGAAGACTTGAATTGCCATTCCTGGCTTATTAGCGGAGGCTGGAACCCGCAACTTGTTGATCCGACGTTCGACGCTCTAACTATTGAGCTACGGGCTCTTTGTCTTGCTGCTTTAGATAGGGAGATAATAACACTCGTTGATGAACGTTCCCGCTCGTTAAGGAAATTCACTCGTCCTGCTCTGCCTTGAGGATCATTCTGGAGCGCCGCCAGCAGCCGCACAGCAGGTAGTAGTCTAGGCTGATGAGTCCCAAGGCATAGGGGGACGAGTGAGTTCCGTTAGTGATTGGGGAAAGTTAATAAACTACTGTCCATCTGCATTATCTGTCTCTTAATTCTGGTCAATTTCGTTTGCCTACTTGCTGAACTGGACTATTATTATCTCCGTTTGTCTTCCGCTTTTAGCCTGCCGGCCCCTGTGCATTTCGGAGGAGTTTGAATTTACACCCTGCAAGGGCTCCAGCAACCGAGAATGCAGACGTGAGTTTTATTTTGGCCACACCGTGTTCTGACACTTGCTTTTTTTTTCGCTCACAGGGAAGGACATCATACCGGAGATTGTAATTCCTAACCAGCACAGTGTTTGGTTCGAGGACCAACGTTACGTCAAGGATGTCTCCTTCATTCTGACCCCTGATACGCAACGGCGGTTGTTGGCCAACCGGTCTGTCATATTGGACCGAGGATCTGGTTATCAGGTGAGACTGGTCGCTGTCTCACAGACAATTTTTTTTTTTTTATTTCGACAAGCGCGCGCTTCAAATTGCGGTTTGAATTTCTCGTCCTCCGTGG